TCGAATTATACAGTGGACGTGTGGAGGTTCCTGTTAGAATGAGTGGAAGTATAGAATCGCCTTACCTGGCTCAGCTACGCCGGCTTAATGTGCGGCCTGGCCGAGAACCGCGCTGTGCACCGACTAACACCGCGCGTCGTGCATCGACTGCTGCGATGCGGTCGCGTGTTTCCCCCACCACGCGACGTCCACCCCTCCCCCTGCCCCTTCCCCTCGCACCCACTTCGCACCGACTGCGACCCTTACGACCGGCAACGGTGGCTCAGGGCATCAGCTGACGTCACTGCAGAGCCTCTGATAGGGAGGTTCTGGGATGGTGGCAGGATTTTCGACACTAGCTACGTAGCTAGGTCTAATTCAGCAGCTGTCTGGAGGGCTGTTTTGACCGGTAGTTTTCAGTGGTTTCTCCGATCAACACCAAGCGAATGCCGGAGTAGAACTAACAAACGGGCCACGGACAGCGCGCCATGTTTCCTTCCTCTTTCTTGCCCTATCCTCGCCACTTACACTCACATGCACTACACTACCACCCATTCCGGGTGACCGGTCTGGAGCTTAGAGCTTGTCCCGGCTGGGGGCGGTTCAACACAGTCACTGACAAATATAATTGGCCGTGTGGAAGGATGATTCGGGATCCACTTCGCTGTGATTGCTGGCGGCCGCAAGGCAGTCAACATACATACAGCTAAGCTCAACGGCGCTACCGAGTAGCCTTGTGTGAAGACACTAGAGCTTTACGCATGGAACATTGTGGCAAAGGGCTTGATGCATGAAACTTACTTTAAGATTCTATACACATATGGTTCAGAATAGCATTTGGCGACTTGAACTGAGATGTATTCAAGCTTTAGGTACAAAGAGAGAGAAAGAAATAGATTACCACTTGACAATCCAGTAAAATGAATTCGTGTCACTAGAAGGTATATACGGATACTCGTAGATGCAGGAAGATTGTTGAATCGAACAATTTCAAAATTGGCAATATTAACATAGCAAACTATTGTTGCTCGTGCCATCTAGTATCATTGTGATTTAATGTAGTTATCGACATAGTATTTTGAGGTAATATAATTTTCATACTGATCATTCTACCCCGTTTGCAGCATGGCATTAAGGCGGCTCCACACATTCATTATTTGGCGAGTAGCGAGGAACCGGTCGCTGAAATACAAGAAGTATGGATGAGATCCTTACTCTTTGTCGAGCGACGAACATTCGGGGCTCTCCCACCGTGCGCCGGTCTTTTGGACACATCGAAAAAAGCTAAAATTCGCAGAGCGTATCATATCGATATTAGGCAATCGCGCAATTAAGGCATATAGTGTTCTTGTCGCATTTCTAAGTGAACTGGGACTACTTCTATCCTCTTGCAGAGCTCTGGGTACAGAACTCTAGCGACAGTAGGTCACCATGCAACAGATGAGAATCTTTGAGGCTGTGTCTCCACATTTTGTTGTTATGAAAGAAATTGTTTGGTTAAAAGTACTAATTACTTGAAAAAATTGTGTAAATATGGTGTTGATATTTCACTTTCTGGTAAATGTATGTACATACGGAAAAATATACGTAGTGTAGAGAAATTTACTTAATCCTGCGGAAAATCGATTTCGAGATTTCAACGGAAATACGTTTTGGTGACTTCTCAAAAGTGACTTTTGTTTAAAATATCCGTCCGTCTGTGAACAACACTAATGCCTAAACTATATGTAGGATATTTTTCCAAAAAGAATACTCTCAGATCGATCTGACTCGACTGGAAGCTCTGTGAGTTTGAAAAACATTCTTTAAATTTTTAGGGTACTTTTTATTAATCCCCTGGGACATTTTCAAAATTTTCTCAAAAATGAATTAAATTTATATTTTTCACTACTGCTTACGCAGTAGAGAGGAAAATATATAATGTTGCGCGAAAAAACGGTGCATTTATGCAGAAAAAATCAATTCCAGCGCCCTGGTAACGAAAAAATCGATAAATCCAGATAATAAAAATTTAGAAATGGATTTGGTTTTATTTATAGATATACTTAGATTATATTGCTTTGTTATTTTATATAGTTCATATAGTGCCCTTTGCAGATTATCTTCTTTATCTGCAACTAAAAGCTGGTCGTCAGCAAACATAAAAATTTCAATAAGTTTTTTTTCCTTGAGAAGATCTTCTAATACATGATGTAGCCATAATCCACGTTGTGTGGGTCCTTGATACCGGAAAATCGATTGATAGCAAGTTTGTCAGTCTGTGAACAGCGCTAGCGGCTAAACCGTTAAGCCGATTTTCTCCAAAATGTATATTCTTCAATCAATATGGCTGATGCCGCGTATCCTGGAATTTGAGACCGAAATTTTAATTTTGGGCGTACTTTTACATGGAGCCCCTAGAATATTTTTGTAATTTTGAAAAAAATGTATCCAACGTTTTATATTAAACTTAATGTAAAGAACGTTTAAGAGAATGGTGTATAATTCGTGTTTGTTAAAAACCCGTTTATCGAAAATTGCAGAATTCAATTTTTTTCGGAATCTCGCTACATAAAAATATTAATGATAAAGATTTTTCTTTCAAGAAATCTGTACCTTAAACGTAGATTTTAAAATAAGGTCATGTACAAATTTTCGAAAATTTGAGTAATTTTCGCCATAATTTTGTGAGAATTATAGGCAATTTTTAATTTTGCTTAATTAACTTTTTTGCGAAAAACGGCATCAACAATTTTGATTAAATTTTGACTACGGGTAGCGTATAAGACGCTTAAGAAAATGATGCTGGCCTCATGTTCGTTCCAAATTCGTGTTTTTGAAAATTGTAAAAGTTCTAATTTTTTTCGGCATCTTCTTACAACTACAATTATGAAAATAAGTATTATTTTCTTACTGAAATATGGTCATCAAAAACAGACCTTCAAAAAAATGTCACGTTTAATTTTTCGAAAATATGAGTATTTTTCCGAAAATGTGTCAGAGGCAATTTTTATTTTGTTATGACATTTTGTTCTTAAAAACGGCATAACATTTTTTGTTTGAATTTGGACCTTAGATAAAATAAATGACGCTTCAGAGAATTGTGTATCTCGTGTTCGTTGAAATGTCTAATTTTCCTAAAATTTAAAAAAACTTGCTGCGTCATCTTACAAATACAATTTTGACTGTACAATATTTCTTTTTAAGAAATGTGTTCATTAAAAGTACGTTGCCATTACCATTAATTCAATGTACGTTGTCATTACCATTAGATGGGACACGTGGTGTCGGTATTGCGATATTAGTTCAAATATAACGACGGATGTAGGGGGAGTGTGTTAGCTGGGAGTTATATTTGATATTTTTCAGAGTCCCAGTGGAAGGAATTTAAGAAATGTTGGAAGCATTTTAACTGTTAACTACAAATTAGAAATGTACTGATATTTGAGAACGAAATTAAAACAGGAAATAAATCGTAGATGCTTTTTCGGTGAACAATTTCCTTCAAACGAGTAGATAACCTGCACGACGTATAGCATAGGGAAGTTTCGCGGATAGCTAAAAAATTAAAATAATTACTCAGCAGACCGGAAATGGACTGATAGAATGGCATTTTTATTAGAAAATGACATCCAGGGATATTACGTTAGGCGGGGCGAAAGAATTCACATCAACGAAGCGACATCAAAGGAAGATGACGTGGTGGACATTTCATCCGGAATTCAACCAAAATAACTTCAATGCGCGCGAAGATATAAGCCATGAACTTTTAAATTAACCTATATAGGAAGGATAATTATTTTTTTAAAAAATCAATAAGATGAGCTCATTAAGCTTTGCAATGCCCAAATTGTAAATAAATTTGATTTATTTTCTTGGAACAATGCTGATTTGTAATGAATTTTCATCAATTAAAAAATTACTTGATTAACAGAACTTTCAGAAATCGCTGGTCTGTGCAGACAGCACGCCCACATACGGCAAGGTAAGATGTAGCATGTTGTATGTTGATACCCACGAACAAGATGGCAGTAAAATCAATCTTAATACAGCTTTCATTGTAAAGTAAATCTATAAGCAGAGCAATCAATTACGTAAGTATAAATGGTGAAGCCAGTTTTTTTAGACTTTTCTTGAAAACGGCTCTAATTTTTTCTTCAAACTTTTTGAACGGACAATGCGAATAGCGCGACTAAAATGATGTATACACCTCTTTGATGTATCTTTTGTTGCTGTTTTTTCGAAAAATAAAAAATATTCAAATGTCTGACGGACAGAGACATTTTTCAGTCAGTCGATTATTTTGTATCAAGACCCACACAATTCATTCTGAAAACACGTGTTAGAGGAAGTAATTTACTACACATAGCAAAAACATTTATCTACTTTTATATCACCCGGGCCGGCAATAAAGAGTTTTTCTGTTGAAAATTCACAGTTTTCTGGCGCACGTTTACAATACTTTCTCTTCTTACGAAGAGCGAGAAAGTAACAAACGAGGTACATTATTATTATTATTATTATTATTATTATTATTATTATTATTAGGAGTGCTTATGAGAAATTTCTATGAAAAGATTTAGACGTTTATTGGTATCAACAATTCATTTCTTCCGCAAATATCGAAATTTTGTTAGAAAAAAAATTTCAAATGTTATTCGATATATATATATATATATATATATATATATATATATATATATATATATATATAGTGCAGTTAGTATAACTACCTGTATGTTAGTTTACAACTTGAGATATGTAAACATAAATTATCACACTCAATCTAAAATATTTGATATTACTCAATCACGCAATTTTAAATAGGGAAATAGGGTTGGTATACAAAATAGATAAAAATATGAACAAAAACCAACATTAAACTTTTATTGATAAAATGTTAACGTTATCTATGAAGCAAAGAGGATCAGCTTCTCATACAATTATTAATTGAGGTTTGTATGAGTGTTCAATATCCAAAAGGAGTATCTTTCTTGCATATCCGCAAGCAGGTTTCCTTAAAAGGTTATACAAAAGAATAGTCATTCTTCCGAGTGGTTTCCACTGCGTTTCACTTCACTGAGAACATTGATAATAGTCTTCCTCACATCGTTACAAATTAAATTATTTCCCAAGTGAGTACGCTTGTGTCTAGTGAGATCGATAGACGAGGCGAAGGCTGCACCGCACTCTTCACAGTTACACCGTCGCTCCCTCGAGTGAGTCCGTTTGTGTACAGTGAGAGTACCATGCCGAGCGAATGCTGCGCCGCACTCCTCACAGCGAAACGGTCGCTCCCCCGAGTGAGTCCGTTTGTGAGTAGTGAGATGAGCAAGCTGAGTGAACGCTGCGCCGCACTGCTCACAGCGATACGGTCGCTCCCCCGAGTGAGTCCGTTTGTGAATAGTGAGAGTACTAGTCTGAGTGAACGCTGCGCCGCACTTCTCACAGCGAAACGGTCTCTCTCCCGAGTGAGTCCGTTTGTGAATAGTGAGAGTACTAGTCTGAGTGAACGCTGCGCCGCACTCCTCACAGCGAAACGGTCTCTCTCCCGAGTGAGTCCGTTTGTGTTTAGTGAGAGTACCAGATTCCGTGAACGCTGCGCCGCACTGCTCACAGCGAAACGGTCGCTCCCCCGAGTGAGTCCGTTTGTGAGTAGTGAGATGAGCAAGCTGAGTGAACGCTGCGCCGCACTCCTCACAGCGAAACGGTCGCTCCCCCGAGTGAGTCCGTTTGTGTTTAGTGAGATTACTAGTCTGAGTGAACGCTGCGCCGCACTCCTCACAGCGAAACGGTCGCTCCCCCGAGTGAATCCGTTTGTGTTTAGTGAGAGTATCAGAATTAGTAGACACAGCGCCGCTCCCTTCGCAGCGATACGATAGCTGCCCGGAGCGAGACCTTTTGAGTGAAGTGTGATCACCCAAATTTTTCAACGCGGTGCCGCATTCTTCAGAGCGATATGGTTCCCCACTCGCAAAGTTGCTTGCAAATGGTAGATTGACGCTTCGGTTTACCCCGACACCAACATTTCGGGTTGTAAAGCGCCATCTGCAACGCCGCGTGTGGGCCTCGAGATATAGTGGACTGGTAAAGGAAAGTGAGCAGTGTGGACAGGGAAAGGCTTCTCCTGAAACAGAAAATGAAAATTCAGATCATTAAATGTGTTTCATATTTTATGTTGTCCATTTGCTCTAAGCATATTCTTATGACTTAATTAAGAATGTTGAACAGAAAAATGGCAACATTTAACTATAGTATGTATGAACTTTGGGAGCAGTGTCCTGGCCTTGCGGCCATGGGTTAAGGGGTGCGTGTGGTATACATAGCCATATCATTTAATTATTAACCATCCTAAAATAAAACTTTAAGATGTGTCAATTTTTAATGTGCTGAGATGATATTATTAGAGAAAATATTGACAAATATAAAATGAAAATGATATTTATCTCAAGTGTGGAAATCACTATGTCTAGTTTTAGTGAAAATGAGATTTTATCACTCATATTTCACTTTATTCTTAGCAATATGGAGAACTATTATTGAAGCTCGAATCTAGAAGTCAAACGAACGCCTTATCAATTTACCGCAGAGCTACAGAAAAGTATGGACGGTATTAATGATTTCTGAAGTGCCACAATCGATACTGAACTTTTTTCTAGAGCATATGACAAATATTATTCAACTACCACAGATATGATGAGTGTTCAAAAAGTAGCCAACATTTTTATTACTTTCTACATCTATATAGAATCTAGTGCAGGTCTGCTCAACTGGCTTCAGATGTGTGATGGCGGCCGACCTGGCTCGATAGGAGTGACGCGAACTGCGACGGGGTTTTGTGGGAAGTTGGTCGCTTGTGGTGGGGAGGAAAAGTCATGCGTTTCGAAACAGGTGGTTGTTAGGTATTCAACCGCCAGCTCTCCCATCCCGCAGCCATTTCCTCTGCCACTGGATGACGTCCCCTTCTCTGCCTCACGCGCCCTGTGGAGAAGGCCTGATCTAGTGCCATAAGTAAGTTTTCACGCGATTTATTTTCCGATATTAAAAAAATTCTGCAGAGGAGTTAGAAAAGAGCAATATTTACTTCCGTAGCGTAACTGTGGAGAACACATCCAACATTAGATAATGAATTAGATTTTCTCCTGTTTTTTAAGGTACTAGTTCGTTGTAAATGTTTCATGGAGTTACATCGTCTCGTTGCTTTGTGAATTTCCCAGTTCCCAGAGTTATCAAACTACACGTACACTTAATAGTTTAAGACTAACGAAGGTTTTCAATAAAAAAGAGTTAGTATGTACGTAGGAAATTATGAATATTTTAAATGAAAATTGAAAATGTTGCGTTGTCTTCAATCGAATTCTAGTTTTTGTGAGTTGACTGATGAAAGAAACCGCGGCCAAATGGAGACCACTAACAATACTTCAGGGAGATTTTTATCAGTTGAATTATCTCAGAGCTAGCAGCACCATTGTCTGCAGCGAGTCTAACCGGCTGGTCTCAGGGATGGAGTTCCGAAAGAGGATTTTCAACACTAGCTATGGAGCTATTTAGTGTACAGATATATAGCTATGTCGGATTCAGCCGCTCTTTTGAGAGTTCTAGAAATAGGCTGCTCTGGCCGGTAATTTTTCGTAGTTTCTCCGATCAATTAACAGACGAATGAGGAAGCAGGATTCATACGCATTGTTTTCGGTATAACATCTTTTGGTGTCTTTCCGCGAGCTTAAAGCATTTGGATTCGAAAGAGAATTCATAATCTGTACGCCGCGACGAATCGCCCACAGACGGGCAAAGGGAGAGAGGTGATGGAAGGAAGTAGCCCTGATGATAGCCGGAGCAGTTGCAAGGCCACGGTGCCCTGAATCGGCTCGTTGGGTAGATCTGGACTGGAGCGAAGACGCTGTTCCGGATTGCAATGTTGCTTTTTTGTACAAAATAAAGTTGCGTGGCGTAGCAGTTACTGCGGAAAGTCATTTTTAGCGCTCTGTAATTTAGAAAGTGAACTTTATTGGATAAGCAAATATTGAGAAATGGGCGATTTAGGAGCGAATTTTTAATGTTCAAGGATGCATAAAAGCGACATTGCAAAATAGTTCTGGAACTATATCATTTTAAATTAATTAAATGAAAACAATTTTGTAGTTCAGTTCAAACTTGTGAATTTCTGGAGCCTTGACATATATGACATCTCGATACATGTTATGCCAAAGTACAATTTATTTACTTGTACTGACAACTACAAATAATACTAGTTGCTCTATGGCGGTATCTGCAACAAGAAACATTATTCTTACGGAAGGCTAATATCATTATACATAGCATAAGACATTTTAAGTGGCTGAAAATAAAGAAATGGAATAGTAGCTGAGAAACAGTTGAACTTGCATAACACGATACTACAGCATGTTCGTTATCATATACTATAATAAGTGCTGTACACTTAGTATGTGTCATATTTCCAATTCGTGACATACTGATATCATTCATACTGTCTCTTTGGACTTGTAGTCCGTATTTTACCTCTTTGTTACAATGGTTAGTGAAAGTTATTACATTTATCATTGCATTCATGAGTACAAAGGCGACTAGCAAAATGTAGGGCTACAGCCACGACGTTGAACAGAACTAGTGATGCCCCAGTCTTGGAAAGCATTCTTCACAAACATGGAGCAAAATGTTAGAATTTTCCAAATTTCTTAGGCTTCAATAAAAATTTGAGTTATAAAATATTTATATTTTATTTATTATTACGCATTATTTTAATAAAACTATCAAAAAAGTGGACAAAAAGTTAGAAAAAAGAAAAAGACATTCGTGCCGTTGAATTCGTTATATTGTAGTTAACAATAATTTTAAACAAACCTAGTGACGATACAACAGCACATGCTTTCTCGCGTTAATTTACAATTTTCGAAAATTTAGAAAGCTCAACAAAGATATAACATGCGCCATTATTTTTATTGTTCCTTGTTTTATCCGTGAAAAAAAGTTATAAAAAAAATTTGGGGCAGTTTTTGAATTAATGTGTCTTTTTTAAATTGCATTTATTTCAAACCGATAATACATAAAAAACTTCTTTTTCAAAAAATTGTAAATTACCTATTTAAAGAGCTGTTTTTAGAATAGATATTGTTAAAAACATAAATTTTAATCTTCCATTTTGTAATTTTTAATGTCAAAATTTTGTAATTAAAAAAAATGAGTTTGCTTCAAAATGAGACTAGCGCCAATTTGTCGTCCTTTGATACATATGAGGAAAGTTTTAAAGAAAAAAATTGAGCTGCTTTGGAAAAAAATTGTCTACATTTTTTAAATGATGCTTATATTTCATGCACAATTAATCATATTTTCCAAAAATTCTACATGACCTTATTTCAAGATGTCTTTAAAGAACAGATTTTATAAAAGAAAGAAATCTCTATCTTCAATACTGTAGCCGTAGGAAGACGTTGATGAAAATTAACTTTTGAAATTTCCAAAAATTAGGGTTTTCAACAAAAATGAGACCTGTTTCATTCGTTTAAGCATCCTTTACTCTATCCTATGAAAAAGTTCAATAAATCAATTTGATGGCATTTTTGAAAACATTTTGAAAACGTTTTTGAGGTTTCTGTACCGCCAAAAATCAAAATATCCGTTTCGAAAACAGAGGGGTTCGAGTTCATTTATATTGATCGAGGAATAAGGATTTTGGAGAAAATCTGTCTATGATGCTACAGACTGACGGATTGATTGATTACTATTTCCGGGCGCGTTAACGGTTATGGTATTAGTCCCATTAGTACAGTATATGTTTTATTGTGGTGATCTTCCCTGCAGAATAGCGAGACCCGTTACTGCCCTACACGACGGTTTGTGGGGATTTCCCCCAGCTGATATTCGTATCTCTCCAGCGGGGCATCGCCCCAGCCGGGACAATCTCTAAGCTCCCGACTGGTATCCCGGCATGTATGATAGCGTAGTGTATATGAGTGCACGTGGGTGTGAGTAAGGGGTGAGGATTAGCCAAGGAAGAGGTAGTAAGGTAGCGCGTGGCCCGTGGCCCGTTTGGTAGGACACTGCTCCGGCATTCGCCTGGTGTTGATTGGACAATCAACGGAAATCTATCGATCAAAGCATCCAGCCGCTAGACTTCTCCTCCGCATAGCGTCTGATTTCGATGTAGCTACGAAGCCAGTGACGAAAATCCAGCCGGTCAGAGACACTGCATTGATATCAACAATTGTTTACCTGTGCCAGCTAAGCCGGAGACTGACAGATATACCGACATTTTCCGTTAATCGATTTTTCGGTATCAAAGACAACCACAATGCAAAAATTTAGAAGACGCAATTTACTATATTAGGTTTATCCAATTTTTCGTTCAGGGCCCTCCACGGCAATAATATTTTTTCTGTCGAAAATTCGCATTTTTTCGGCGCACGTTTGCAATACTTTCCCTTCTGAGTAATGGTTCAAGTAATGGTGAGAAAGTAAAAATGAAGATGTTTTTGAGAAAATCGTGTTTTCTTATTTTTGAAAAATGTCATACGTTTAGGTATTAGGTGGAAAAGGCTAAAATTTTTAAAAACGTTTCTGAAACGATTTAAAGATCTAATATTGAGGTATAAATTGCATTCTGAAAGTCTTCTCTTACTTTAATTTTGGAAAGTAGGAGAACTTGGAACAAAATTTTCATTTTTACAATGTTTATAATTTCAGAGGTTTCAAAAAATATCGGAGCAGTACCATATTTATAGGGTATTTTGCTCAATTTGAGGAAAGTTATTTAAAAAAGGAGCCACTTTTGAGAAAACATTGAACCTACGAGTTTCATGTGAAGATTCCCTAAAAAATAGCTTCTTTAATCTGAATTTCCTGAATATCAACACCATTTCATACATTTCCACAGTTTTCTTATATAACCTGCAAGCTGTAGAGCGCTCTTATGCGAACTGAATAGCACTGACATTTCCAATTGTAATAGTTTGAGTATAAAGGCGTCTCTTACCTTACCGGAAAGATCTTTTACTCGGTAAAGAACCTTGTCAATGAAATGAAGTGCTCGGGCGAATAAGATTATATCTCTCATAATTTTGTTTTTGATTGCATTAGTGTTCCCTGCCATCCCTTGTGTATGCAGTGCGATCGTAAAATAATTCGATTGATCCTGTATAAACATGATCCCCCGTTCTTGTAATTTTTATTTAAACCACTAAAACCCTTTAAACCAAAATGTTTACTTGTTTACATCTCAAAAGTGAACGTTATATGTTTTAAATGGAAAACATTAAATTATAGTCCGAGAGTTAGAGATTCTGAGAGTTTAGCATATATTTTTTTAAGATCTCCGAATACGTCGTGATATCAAACAAACAAATAAAACATGAGCGCAGTGTTTGAAAAGAAAGTGTGTCGTCTTACTGGGCAGAGGGCGCAGCAGCGGCGCGCGGAAGTCCTTGGGCGAGATGCCCAGCTGCAGAGCGAACGCGTCGCCGTACCACACCAGCAGCTCCTCGTGGGCCGCCAGCGCGCGCACCGAGCGGTAGAAGATGGCGCCGCGGAACTGGAAGGCCACCACGTTCTGCTCCTGCTCGTGGCGCGCGCAGTTGACGAAGCGCATCCAGTTGGCCACGCGCGTGTCGCCGGCGTCCACGTAGTGGTCCACGCGGCCCCCTTTGCGGATCTAACCAGGAATCAGAATTTGCGAAATTGATTTCTATTGTACAAGCAAAACTTTAAAAAATATATATATAAAATGTATATTATATAAACCGAGCGAAGTGGCTCAGTGCAGGGGGCGCTGGATTCGCAATCGGGAGGGCACGGTTTGATATCCGGGCTGGTCATTCTGACCGGGGTTTTCGTGGTTTCTCTCGGTCACATGCGAATGATGGTTCCAAAAGCTCACGAACACCTCCCACCGAACTCCTCCTACCATCATCCTAGTTCTTTCACCCCTCATCATCACCGTATAATAATATAATAGTAATAATAATAATAATAATAATAATAATAATAATAATAATAATAATAATAATAAAATTATTATCAAAATAGAGACAATAATTAGAAAATAATCGTGAAAATGTTTAAAACTCACTTCTCGCATTCGAATGCTCTTTTTATAACAAACTTATTCTCACCGATTTCGTATTAAATTTTGTCTGTAACATACGCAAGCAACTGAATATGCTAATACATTTCTTAATTTACTTTTACACTTGATGAATTACACTGATTTCGAGGCGTAGACAAAGACGGTTCATCAATTTGTGACCATCCTTTCCTGGCCAGATAATTATGGTATTACGCATTCTATGAACAATGGTAGGTTAATGAATGGAGGATGATGAGTGAATGATTAATTATGTAAGGTTGTTCAGACATCAGTTGAATTCGAACTAGCTGCGTAGCAAGTGTCAAATATCCGCCACCGTCGAGAATGGATGCCTGGGTCTTCCGGCCAGAGACACTTCAGTCGATGCCCTGAGCCACCTCCGCCGGTGAAACGAACGTAGCGTGGCGGTGACGGGTACCTCCCAGCTGTAGCCGTCGTCGTTCTCGCGGCGCGAGCGCACGCCCTGGTAGGGCCCCATGCGCAGCGCCCGGGGCAGCGCGACGCGCGCCCACACGCCGCGCCCGCCCTGCGGGATGCCGGACGCGGCCACCGACAGCTCGGGCGGCGCCGTGAGGACGGCGCGCTCCTCGGAGTGCGCGGCGGACGGCGGCACGGGCGCGTCGGCCAGCAGCAGGAGCGGGCCGTGCTCGGGGCAGTCGCCCTCCCACTCGCGGTTGCACTCGTCGCAGACTGCGCCAACAGACACCGCCGATGCCTTCTAGTATTACTCTACGAATTGGCTTAGAGTGAATGTTACAAACTTCTAGGGCACATAAAGGTATAGAAGATGATCACTTTTAGCTAGTGAAACAGTGATGTGGTATCTGGCATTACGAATTTACCCAACTGATTCATTTCTGCCCTGATGTTTCACACGTTTGGTACTCAAGACGATCTACTCCTGACAATGACAATGTTTTTTTCTAGGTATTAATGAACTTCGAACATTCAAATTCAACGAAATGCACGTCTAATAAGGGCGTTTCGTCCTGAAGCAGTATAAGCTTAACGAAGACAGAAAGCACAATTTCGTCATTTCTAGAGAACAGGTCTCCCTCCGAGAGTTCGTGTGCCTTGCAAACTTTAAAGTAGGACGACTTGCCTATCAATGATGAGCCGCGTAGTTGGAGTGCCAGTAGTGTAACTTATATGACATTTCCCTCCACATATTTACTAGAAAAAGTGATCCCTCAGAGTAGCCACTCATTTCCTGGAACATTTCCCTAAGTTTTCCAGTGTATTTTTTAATTATTTTTTTTCCTGATAAAATGTACAATTTTTCACTACTTAAAACAATAGTAAATCTATCCTGGTTCTAATTGGCGAGGTCTCTGATTTCGCCATGACAAAGTACAAATTAACAATATTTTATCACCAATAAAAACTTAACAATAAAGAATATTTTTTTGTATTGCTGTACTACTTTTTTTAAGGATTAATAACTAGTTTTATAACTCTGTCAAAATTTTTGCCTGACTTCTAAAGACTCTTCTACAAATACCCTGATTTTTGCCTGACTTTTCCAGAGCAAAATTACCCATTTTTTTCAGGTTTTCCGTGTTCCAGAAAGTGGCCACCCAGCCTCTACATATTCTAGAGATCTAGTAGTAGAATAAGCAATATTTCCTCACACAGAATCTCGTCCTCGTCGGGAACGGGCAGTTCGCGGTAGTCGACCGGTGCTCGCTTGCGTAGCGAGTAGTGCCCTTTGGTCTTTGGGTCCTCTGTCTTCTGTTGAGTCTCTTCTGTTTGTGTCTGTTCCTCTGCCTCCTCCTCTTCGTCCTCCGAGGACGGAGGTTCCTGTTTGACGCGCACCTCGTATATGTCGTCGTCGGGAGGGAACACGACACGCACGTCGTTTGACGGAGGGCGAGGGCGCAATGCTAGAAGATAAAATGGGAAGATACAGATTTTTGACCTTGTAGGCTGTGTATTATGATTAGGGGCGAACGACTGATGTTCACATTTCATGGATGTGTTTTTGTTGTTTTTTTCAGAGAACGAAACGGATATTTAATAATCAGTCAGCAAACTTGTGAAAGCTTGTAGCAAATTTGTTTGAATTTTACTCACAACACTTAAGACTAAAAGTCCTCATTGGAAATGTTTTAATACCGAACTTTTTTGCTGCTTGAGTTATTAATAAAAAGAGTCTAAGGTCCGAACTGGGATAAGCCCTATTGGAAAGAAAGAAAATAATATGTTGTATTAGTTATTTTAATTTTTTCCTATAGATGAACTGTTTTTGATTCCACAAGCCGTTATCTATGTACTTGCAAGTGAAACATCGTAATCTAGCGGGAAATCTAGAAACTTCACTGTTAGTTAAGAAAGCATATAGGTTTGCGGTACAAAACGAAACCTGATACCGTCAAATTTTACAGAAGTATTTCAGTTATCTCATCTTTTAAACATTATTTTTTTTCTAACATTAAGAGACTATACTGAGCATAAAAATATTAATAATACTGATTTTAAAAATGATATTTAGTTACCATTGTAATTACGAAAAACTATATGCCTTTAACAAGTATTGCTCATCAGCGTTGGGTCAATAACAAATAACCATTTCTAGCAGGTTTCTCTTCTCTTTTCCCTGATACTTTCAGTAAATGCAGATATAGCCTCTTGTTTTGCTTCAGGGAAAAACTGTTTCTTTGCTAACTGTGCACTTTTCCTTGATTTATGAGGACAATGTAATTATTAAAATATACATTTCTGCGTTCTCATTGAAGTAACTCGATTCTTCCATCACGAAGGGACTTTTGTAAAAGGTAATAGTCAACTCTGCAGCTGATTTTTATTACATAGGAGCGAACATTCGCCACCAAAACACTCGTTACTATCTATATTGATAATTTAACATAATATATGTTTGAATCAGGACCTAGATCCCACTTTGGAGAAACCGTGCCCAGATTGTACTTCTCTCTGCAATACTGTTTTTGACGTTAAATGAATAAATGTTTTTTTTTTTCATTTCTGCCTGGGTGGAGCAGGAGTATGATAATTTGCGCCCAATTAAGTGTTACATACGATCTATGGGGTAACTCCAGCTTAAGGCATGGATGTAGTGCTGTGGCATGGATAGTATTTCGAACACATAGTTTTTCCTCTTTTATCCAGAAATCCTCCACTTTATTCCTTTATCTCGCTAGCAGTTTCGTGAATTGATGGCCAGCAGTGTGAATGCCTTGTAGGTGTAGCCACGATCACTTCCTCTAACCCAAGACTAAACATCATTGGCTTACGAGCTGCGATTGTCAAACTGTATATACAGTTGAAGATGAGGGCTCACGAGATACATCTACCGATGGAGGGACGTGTTCTAATCACGAATCACACCTGTTTTACGAGATCTCTACTCACCAGCCTGCGCGAGCCGGCGTCGCTGCAGTCGGATCTCCTTCTCTCGGGCGCGACGTATAGCCGCTTGCAGCGCCTCCACCAGCTCCCGGCACCTGCGCACGCAACGATTTATAGACTCGAAAAGACATGAGCACGCGAGGCAGATAGGTTGGCCACCGAGGAGAATTTGTACTCGCAGGGCGTCCGCCAGCACCCGACACCCGCAGACAAAGGACGCGGGCAGGCCAGGATACGAGTGGAAATGAGTCACCAAGCAGCACAGTCGCCCGCAGAGCCTCTGTCGGCCCCCGTCGCTGAGAACGCTGCGCTCAAACGAGATGGAAGTTCATGAACAGAAGAGGGTAGGTAGGTCACCGAGGAGCACGTCTACTCTCAACACGTCCGCCAGCTGTCGACATCCGCGGACGCAACGATCAAAGGACAGGGAAAGACAAACACGCGAGGGGGATAAGCGGGCAGCTGATCAGAACCCACGGTCTCGGCGCATCTACCAGCCCCTGGCAGTGCGCACGCAACGATCAATGGACACTGAAAGCCATGAGCACGTGCGGGAGAGGTGTGGGTCACCGATGATTCCAGTTGCTTGATGCTCGTCCGCCTGGTGCTTCATCAGGGTAGTGTGTGGAAGTGGTCTCCTAAGCAACGGCCGCAGGGTTGAACTCAATGTGGAAGCGAACACTAAAGAAAAGTTGCCGTAGTAAAAAATCGAAGCAATAGGGGCATGATGTGAAGGGAAGGGAGAGAGGGCCCTTACCCGAGCAGTGGCGTTGCGCTGAAACCTCCAGTGGAACATGGGTTCGTAGCCTTCCGCGGCCGGAGTCAATGCATTCTTGTCAATCCGGGATGAGTCGCGTCTCGGTCAATTGTACTGACGTTTCGGCCATCTAGCTGTGGCCTTCTTCAGAGCTATACTGCTGCTCGTAGCAGCCGAATGCAAGATGGCCGAAACGTCAGTACAATTGATCGAGACGCAACTCATCCCGGATAGCCAAGAATGTATAGCACCAGAGGAACAGATTTATATATGAGATACGTAACAATGAAGGCTGTGTGTTTCGGAGATTAAGGAAATCACTTACCTGTGAAGTGGCGCGGGGCTGAAGCCATGGAAGGGGGCGAGGGGCGGCAGCATCTCGTTCCCGAAAAAGCCCTCGGGCGGCTCCTCTGGTTCCTGTTTCACCTTCTGCAACACCCAGCGCCCCCTCACCTCTCACAACGCATTCACGCACTCTTCCCAATTCCTATTTCTAGCTGTAGATGCACCGCATACAAAACTGATTCCAAAATCTTGTTTGTGTCTTTAACCCCAGCATATCTTTCAGGGGCGGTGCAGCGGTTAAGAGAGACGAATGACATGCTACGCGTATGACAGAACCTTACTCGAAGTACTCATCTGTTTCTGATACTAATCGCATGATGACACTAATGTGAACAAGTGAGGGACGCTGCCAGTTGGCTGTTGGAAGGGCGAACGATGCGTCCATGAACTGTTGCGGTGCAATTGACGTCAGATGCGTGACACCAATTCCCAACGCGTGGGGACATATCTTTGAACGACAAAGCGGAAATCATTGGCTGCTAGGCACCAGCCAATAGTTAACCCTTGGTTACTCGCGTTGGCTTACTGTGTACGCCCCTTGGAACTTATATTATCGGAAAATCAGATATGTGAATCATTAAATGAGGAATCGTAAGAAGACGAAATTTGGGATGCTGCAAGTGATTTTGAGGAAGTTGCAGTGGCCGAGAATGAACATAAAACGTCTTCTGAGATTGATTATACTAGTGATTATCTAAAGTAAAGAGATGGGCAAAGACAAGATTACAAAGTGGAAAAAAACATCGCTTGTCAGCATATTTACAATACCTGATAGGCTCGATGATCAACAATTACCACCAACAAAATTAAGAAATCACTGTCACATTACTGAAGAGCAAAAAACCGCACTACTATCATTAACTTCAACACTACTACTAACTGGTGCAACAATTTTGCATGCAACGAACATATTCATGAAGTCATCAAATGCAAAAATTGTTCTGAAGTCAATTATGCTAAATTTGTTATTATTTAATTAAAATTGTAATAAGTATACATTTAAAATAAAACTAAATAAAATTATATCCAATTATTATTCAGGTCTTGCAGAGTTCATTTTTCTAACAAAATGTGCTTGGCGTACGAAGTATATCGCGCGGGTACTTGTGGAACAAAACATAGCGCGAGCAACTAAGGGTTAAGGAGGGAGTTGAGTTGACAGTCATATTGTATGCGCACCGCAGTCTACGTGATTCCTATGCATTTAAGCTTAATTGTTCTCCTGAGTTGTTTTTCAGAAAATGAAACTTTTGGCCATTAGCAAATGTACATCCTTTTAAGACTTGAGGAGAAACTCTTGGTTTTATAAATTATCTTCGTCTACATCTAAGTAAGATTTCTCTTTCTTCCCTAGGAATACTTCCCAAAATTGATTAAAAATAATCTAAAAGTTGATGGTATGTGCCATTGCTTTACCCATGATCAATTACGTCATTATAAGCCAGTTACCGACGTGTACACAAGGTGCCCACCACGTCATCGATGTCAGTTCCCAATACTGTCATAATTGGAAATGGAAAGATATTGTTTTGAGACATAAAACGGTAGACTTTCTATATGCGGTTCATAAGATCAGTAAAGGGCACAAAAATACAGGATCGTACAAAGGATTCTCACGACTGAACCGAGCCAAAGTACGTCTAAAACAGCTGCAACGTTATAAATGGCACACAACCAAACAAATCAATGGCGAAACACATTTTAAAAACGGACGATTGGAAGAATGAAAAAAAAATGCACACGTCTTTATGGCCCAAATATAACTGTTTGTTTTTAAATAAATTATTAATGAAAGAAATAATGAATGAATACCAAAGCAAGTCGGTGGTGAGGGGTTCGCTTACTGACATTTAAACCCCCAGCGACCGGGTTCGGGCCCGGTCGACGTGCTCGGAATTTCGAAGGGCGGAAAATTCACAATAGCCATGTCACACTTGTGGCATGTAAAACAACCCTGGCGTATGCCCGGGAAAATAAATCCCTCCGACAACATTCACCCTAACGATCTCTCGCTTTCGGATACAGTAACTGAGACCGACATTTGTCGGAGAAACTGAGAGTCAAATTCCAGGC